TAAAAAACCAAAAACTTTAGAGAATGAGATTAGAAAATTTGTTGCATGACCCAACAAAAGTGATCCAGAATTATTTCAATCCTGCTTCTTACTTTAACAAAGTTAGTTTTAATATTTATTCAGATTGTAACAGTTTGCACTGAATGTTTTTATTAAGTATTTTTTTAGTTTCTCTAAAACTACTTTTTCTTTTCTCTTTTATGATCATGATTTTTAGTATTTACTTATCTTTTAACTGCAAGCACTTGTGTATATCTTGTCTTTTAAATGCTAAACAAAGAGACTTCTGGTCAATCTTGCTGATTTTTGGCATAAGAAACCCCTCCAATTTTATGACAATGATGTTGCATAGGTTTCATGTCAATACAAACCAAATATCAGTAAGACTGCTATGATGCAGCTAGATTTGGTCCACATCTGTTAATATCCAGTTTTCAGAAGGGAATTTGTAAGAATTTTTTTAATATGTTGACTGTATTTATATACAATGTTGATACACACAAACTGCATTGGATGCCAAAATATCTGAACATTTCAACATGTTCAGAGACATCAGAGGCCTTCTCTATTTTTAAATTACTCTCTCTAAATTTACAAATTATTAATCTATTGTATCAATTACTATGTTTACCTTGGTTTCATTATATTTACATTAAAAATATATGAAAATATATATATTTAAATAATGCTTAATACTTTTTTTAACAGCTGTACACGTGAATCTAAAATAATCTTATATTAATTAAAATTCATATATCTATACATATACATACATTTGGTCACATGTATAAACAACTGTAGAAACACACGCACAGAGTGAACTATATTTACTATGAAGTCAAAAGCTTCCCAGGCTGGGAAAGCTGCACTATTTAGAGACAGGTTCTTCACAGAATGATGTGAATTTTCTTGCTTGGTATGATGATTACCTTCACATTTGTGTAAATAAACTGCACCTGATGTGGGCACAACAATCTGACCCTCCAAACTTTTCCTGTAAAAGCTGAAAGCTCTGTCCCTGAATGCAAGACAAAGGCACAAATATTTCCAATGTCCAATGATATTAAAAAGTTTATCATTATGATTTAGCTCAACTATAAGACAAGGTTTCCAGAAATTGCCACCTAGCCAGTTTAGTACAGCATGGCCTTAGTGTTTTTTTACTTAAGATAAAGAAAACTAAAGCTTCCCAATTAATTACGAGTTTTCACGATTTCCCTGTCAGACAAATTGATTTGGTTGTACACTCAATTTGATTTTGTGCTGAACAGCAAATGACTTGCTTAGAAAATAAAGAAATGTGGTTGGAACAGGGGTTTAATTAATTCTATTGAAAAATACCTCAAATGCAATATACCCCGAAGAAATACTCCTCCAACTATATTCAATAAAGGTTGTTTATCAAAGTAATTATTTCCTTTAGGGAATTTCTTAGAATTTTCTCTTTAAATAAAGGAAGGCTCAAAAAAGCAAGCTTTTACTTCTATGACCTTGAAAAAACACCTCAGTACAAAAAATTTGCTTCAGCAGGAAAAAAATAGAGTGTTTGTCTTTTAAAAAAATTTAATTGCCTCTGTTACTAAATCTTGTAACAAATTAACCCTCAGATCTCTACTAAAATGTTTCCATTTTTATTCACAGTACACTTCTCCATTTATGGCAATACATTACAAAGTATATAGAATGTAATATGTAATATAGAGGGTATGATAACCTATATGATATTAATATGTAATAAAAACAATGTCCTTTTAATATAATACTTGTCTACCTAAAACCTGCTGTACCTACACTTGCATGTTATTTTTAAAAATTGAAATATTCTCTTAACATAAATACTTTTGACTACTGGCATTGATAATGGCAATGATGTTGACTAACTTGTGTTTAATGGTTTGCTAAACTCAGAGTAATAAATCAGAAATCTTCTGGAGTTTTCATATAGGACTGCATTGGAGTCTTCAGAAAAATTAATTTTATTATTTAATTGAGCGCACTACAAAGAGTTGGAGTTGATGGTTCCCTTTAATAAATACTTAAATAATTTTGAATCAGAGAGGAAATATTTTCCATGAAAAGCAAAATTCCAAGCCAAAAAAAAAGTGGTAAAAATCAACCCAAAAATCCACTGTTAAATTTATACATCCAGAGAAAATAGTTGAATATGACTGAAAACCTCCCAGAGACGGTTCTATATAAATACATATATACATAAAGGCCTTTGGTGTGTAGACATGCATGCTTCATTTTGTGGATGAAGGTGACACAGCTGAGAAATCACAATCCTTTTATCCACCTGTAATGCTTCCATTTCATGGTGAAAATTTCCTTCTATCTTATCGAGAAGACTTCTAAGCAAACTGCTTTCCAAGTTATTTCATGCAAATTACTATAGTGAGAAAGCAAGACTAAATTTCAGCATGCATATTTGCACCTTGGTGTAATGGCAACAGAGAAAGTTTCAGTCTTCCTCTAACTGCTGAGTAGTTTAAATGCAAACATTTGAATAAGGTTGACAGACTGTTTTTTTAACCTTTCCTTCTTTTATTGATTTTAAGCAGACACTGTAAAGACATAAAGAAAAAAAAAATCAGTTACACTTAATAGCTCTGAATTCTTTGACAAGACAGTTTTTCCTCTTTCCATTTTCCACTTGTATGTATGTACTAACTTAAAATTCTGAGGCTTTCTATCTACTTTTCCCCGATAATCTTAAAGAATAGGACAAGAAATTCCACAGCAAGAACTATACCTTCTCCAGCTTGAAGTGATTTCCAAGCTGTCTTGTGATTGGTGAGGCAACATTTAACATATTTGTTGTTTGGTTGTTCTTTTTGTGTTGTTATTTTTGTTTTTTTTTTTTTACCCTCAGGCAAGCAGTTATCCCTACTTGTTGCCCTCAGGTTATATATTTAACTTAAAATGAAGGAGAATTCCCATATTCTTTTTGCCCCTGGGGTTTTCCAGCAGCATAAAATGTTGGCTTCTGGCGTCCATGTTAATTTGCAAACATTGAATCCCATGGGCTTTTTATCAGAAATGTCTCAACTTTTTTACAAGTGGTTTTTATTTTGCTGTAGATATTAATATGTATCATCATCTCTAGTACTTTTCAAAATATAGAAAAAAATATCCGGATTGTGAATATTTTTTTGGGAAACCCAAGATAATTACTTTAATGTTGATATTTTATTTTCATGGCTTCATTTTGAGGAAATAACTCATAGAGACAGCCTAGATGTTTCAGGTGACACTTAGTAATAACGAGTTATGCTGATTCTCAGGGTCTGGGATGTGAGAAATAAGTCTTATGGAAAGACAAAGTGTGGGTTTTTTGATTTATAATGTAGCTAGGTTATTCAAGTAACCCACTTACACTGCAGAATTGATTAAAGCAACTAAAAATTGACAGATTTTTCCAAGTTGTAGTTTATTGTTTCATTTAATCTTCAGCATTGGGAACTCACAAATATGTAAACCAAAAAGGTAAATAATCTGCTTATTATAATATAACCTCTATGCCTTAACACTTTGACTTTACCCAATTAACATTACATTTTTTAAATGTTCCTGGCTTTTTCCTTTCCCATTTGTTCCAGACTTAATTTCTTAAAAACAATCTTTAAATGAGTGATTCTTTACTGACTTATTCCTGCTTTTACATACTAGTTTCTTAGATGACTGAGAAACCTCTCATTAAATCTTCTCAGCCATATTTTAATTCTTTCATTATTTTATTCCTTCCTGTTATAGCTCAAAACAATTATAGTGTCTCAAACTTTAATTACAACTACTTGATTATTCACTTCAATCAGGACTATTTTGTTATGCATCTCCAATTTTACTTTTGGAGAAATCCATGGGAACTCAATTTTTGAAATTTGTGGCTCCAATATATACCTTTAATTATCTCCAAGCTTGCATTCTTGAAACATGCTTATCTATTATAGCACATGTATTTACAGTGTGAATTAAAAATAAAAAAAAAAAAAATTATAGCTTATAAGGAAGAAAACCCTATCCTTGAGCTGTGCCTCTAAATGTTTAACAAGTAAGACTTGACTATTTCACGTAATTCTTTTCACACCTAGTGAACTGAGAAAGGAAGGGACGCAGGGAGGGAGGGAGGGAGCAAGGAAGGAAGGAAGGAAGGAAGGAAGGAAGGAAGGAAGGAAGGAAGGAAGGAAGGAAGGATCTGAGCTGCTCCTCGATTCTTCAAAGAGTGAAGGTAATGGGAGGCATTATCTTACACAATAACACTTCCTACCCATGCTAAAAAATGTAACTAAATCCATGTAACAGGGTGTTGTGCTTGTTGCATCTGTCCGGGAGGCTGGCTACTCAGTCACACTGGTACAGTTCTGATAAAAACACTGATAAAGCAAATTGATACAAACCAAAAGGAAGATGCTTTCATGTTGACCTTGGTTCTGCTAAATAAAGCTTATCAAGAAGGTGACTTTCAAGTGTTTCTAAATTCAGAGAACTGCTATACTGCTTAATCTGAGAAAATCCAGTTATTTAAGGGATAATTCATTCATTAAGTTTCTTGCCTTGCTCTTTGCTAAGAAAATATATGAGATATTTGAGAATGGCCTGAATTGTTCTTAGCTTTTCATTGCTACCATTATTTTTTTACAAGCATATTAATAAAATAAATATTTACATTTCATTGGAATAAAAAATTATAATCAGTTTAATTTTTCATATCTAGGGCGGAGTTCATAATGGAAAATATTCTGAAAGACTATTTGAGTTATTTGATTAAAACTATTAACTGGACATATTTAAAATCAATTATGTTACTCTGATATTGGATGAGCACAACACTTAACTGATATCATTCAACATCAGTTTGAACAAATAACAGGTTATTTTCTCAGCTTCATCTGTTAAAAGACAATTGAATATTAAAATTTGCATTAGTAATGCCATTGGGCAAATACATTCATGGTCAGTAAACCCATTAATGCTGGTGATGTACTATGAGGGATGAATATGTCTAGTCTGAGCAATGAGGTACATTTTATGTTTACTGTAAGCACTATAATCCTAGAACTTGCCCTGGCACTGATAAATTGGGTATGCACTCAAGACTGGTTTATAAGTGATGAAATACATTTTAGCCTAATACAAATACCCTAAAACAGGAATTCACCCTAGCACCGACAAAATGGATACATTCTGAGGACCTGATTTGTCCCTGACATGACCTCATTGACCTCAGTGTGGTAAGTAGATATTACAAAAACTTGACATAAAGTAATTATTTGTGTGCTCTTTTGATATATTATATAACACAATCTTGAATTTATAGAAAATTTTATGTGAGGAATTACATTAATCCTTAGTGTAAATTACTTGATTCTCAGTCATCTGTGGGGATTCTTTATTAGCATTTAAAAATTTATATTACTTGGTACCTTCTACAGCTCAATAGACTTCAGCCTTATTCTGATTATCTCTGTAGCGATGTTAACTTGAAGAACTAATGTTAACTTGAAAAATCCTTTTAGCATTTAGTCTTTTCCAATCTCTTTGTTTTGACTAAACTGGTACTCTTTCAAAGAAAAAGGAACCAGTAATTTATAGTTTATATCATGAGATAAGTAAATCATATCCTCTGATTTTTGCATGATCTCTAGGAGAAAAGGATTTACATGTATTCTCAAAGGAAGGAATTTGCATGGGTAGAGCAAAACTCCCATACTGCATATTCAATGTTTCCAGGTCAAGATCTATCAAATAAAATTGTATGTCTCCCTCTACACTGGTTTTCAGGCAGTGACACTTTAAAAATATCATGGCAACATTATTTTTCCTTCTGTGTTGAAGCATGGTATCTTCTTTTACATATGTACCAATGGCTTTCAAGAAACTAGTCCAGTTCTGACAAATCTTCTGGCATTAACTTTCCCTCAGCTCAAGACATGACATGCTGCCACTGACAGATTGAATGACAAGATCTATTTGCTTTAATCTACGGGTATTAAGAACTTTTTTACCTCTGGAAAAAGATATTGATTTAGAAGAAGGCTTTTCAGTGATTGTTTCCCAGGTAGCTTGCTCATCATGGTTTAAAACAGATTTTCTTTGTGAAAGCATTCTTTTCCTCTTTCTGTGTGGGGCATAAGGTGCTGAAATGCACATCTTACCAGAGTGTTCCTATCTGTTGAATGAAAGCAGACTGCAGCATCTTTGAGGTCCTCAAAACAAACCCTTCAAAGCAGTTCTGAAAACTGATAGACTTCCTCAAATTTCAGACATGAGGCTCTGCTCTGTGACAGGAAAGGCAATCTGAGAAGAACAGCTTTTGGTTGAAGTAAAACATGAGATCATTGGACCATAAGGAATCAGAACAACAAGGTCAGCACCAATGTCACTCATTAGTGCTGTCTTCCAGAATAGCACCTTTTCTTTTTACTACAGTTTCAACAGCAGAAAATGAGGTTAAGAAATAAACTAAAAAATGTTCTAACATTCTTTCTGAATATTACACCTTTTCACCAAATGGCTGTATTATGATTTTTACTTAGTGAAGCTGTGAATTCGCAAGTCCCAGACATTGTGCTGTTCTAAAAGTAACTGTATAAAATCACACCACTTTGTAAGAAATTTAGCAGTGTGGTTTCATCTGCATTTTGTTTTAAACCAAAGAAAGATGTTTAGTTTTTAAATACACATGGATTCTACAAGGGCAAGTGTTTTTTTCTATGTAAATAATTTAACAAGGTTACACTGTGGGTCATGCTAGTCTCTGGAAATACTGCTAATACTCATTTTAAAAGTAATAGTTTTCCTTGTGTGTGATTTCTTCTATTTTAGCATGACATTAAAATTATTAAATCTTTAAAAATGATCACAGATTTTTTTAAAGGTTTGTTCAATGAAAATTCATACATATGGAACTAAAATTTCCTTTGGCATGTGGTACAATTGAACTACAGATTTACACTTTCTGAAACATGCAAAGACTTTCCAGCATTACATCCCAAGCCTACATACCTGTCAGAGTGCGATCATTGAAATGCAAAATTTCTTCTGATCAGTAAACATCAACAAATTTTCAAAAATTTTTGTTGATATTTGCATGATTGAAAGATTTGTTTTGCAAATGTTGAGATTCAGCATCTACTAAATTTAACACTCCATACTACCATATTTTTAATTCAATTTTTTACAATTAAAATTTTTGGAGTTTTTTAAATTTCTGTTTTCAATTTTCCCTAGGGTACTTCTTTTTTAGCTTAGCTCTCCTGCTTCTTTATCGAAGTGTTCCATAAGTTTTTTGCTTACTTGTTTGATGTTTTATTTTTCTTATTTTTAGCTATTTTATTTCTAGTTTCTTCATTTTGTCATAAATTTTTGGTCATTAATCTTTTAATCATCATGCATCATTAATCATCTATTCTATTTTGATTTCTTGAAATACGCTAGAAAAAAAGTCATACTATATCTCTTGCACGCCACTGGAGATGATTTTTCATATATATTATGAGAATATCCATGGTTTTACTTAAATGTTTTTAAGAGGAAAAGTTCTACCAAGAATGCAATGAAGCTGTTGTCAGCAGCTATAATGAAGTTGGTGCATTTTGGGGGGAATATTTTTTGTCATTGCAATATTGAATTTATTTAATATTGGCTGAGGGTTTATTTTTTTCATATGGAATTAAATAGAATTTAATAAGTCCAATCATACTAATATAGAACAAATATAATTCTGTGAAAAAGCTCATATTTTTCTACTGATTAGCCACTTTTTTTTAGAGTAGGTAACTGAATCATGGATTTATCTTCAAAATCATTCTAATTTGGGTCACAAAAAAAAATAAAATCATGAGCAAAGGTTTTTTTTTTTTTTTCCTCACTAAGAATGACTAATCTATTATGGAAAAATCTTGTCAAGTTGGCCTACTAATACATTTTAAAGATAAGCAGGAATGTTCTTATTTTGTGGGTTTTTTTCCCTTATATTGGAAAAGGATAGCAATTAGCTTTTACTGCTCACCAGTGCGACTCTAGTAGGAGAAGTCAGGTTTTATACAACAATTACAAAGCTCAAAAATAGTATTGTAGTATAATAGAATAATATTGTAGTAAACCAGAACAGTCCATCCTGGGTCAAGTGGGAACCGACTCTGGGTGGAAACATAGCTTATTCTGTGATAAGATGGAAAGCAATTGCATACACATAAAGAATGAGAAAGAATGTAACATAAAAAGCCCAGTGAACACTTAATGATGTTTGAACTGTTTAAAATCACAGTTTAATGAAGAGGAAAACTTTAACCTCTTCTTAAATTAAACATTCATATTTCAATCTTTGTCCATGACCTTTAGAATTAGCTATATTATTAGTATTTTGAATATTTAGTAGTAGCAGACTGTAAAAACTCTTACTTAAATTTGCAATCTCCACATGCTTCTTTGTCAACTAAAATGTAAAAGCTATTTCCCACAAAAAGGTATTAATAATTAAAAAGACATTAAAAGTCTAAAGCAGCAATAATTAATTTGTTGTTGCTGTTATATTTAATTTTTCAAGACCCTTTATAGTCAAGGACTAGTGCACATTTGTGCCAATTACCAAATTACTGCTAATATGACATAATTTTTTAACACCAATTGTAAATTTTTTTGCCTTGTTGCATAATTCTGTCACATGTTGAAGAATATTCTCTGCAAATTTGCTATATTTGCTTTCATTAACAATGGCTTTTTGAAGTACATGGAATAAATGTGTCAAAAAAAATCCAAGCTATTTTTTTATAGCTGTCACCTCAGGACACCAATGGATATATAAAAAAAAAGTTTGGGTTTTTTTTTTAAGCTGTATAGCCTCTAGATGATTGTTGTGCCTAACTTTTTAAAACTCGGTTTGCATTTTTGAGTTTAGGTTTCACAACTTCCCCAGGATATTTTAATTAATATTACTTAAAACCATGGTTCAGACATAGATAGATTTGTTTTAAATTAGCATTCTCTAATATGAGCAATGAACATATCAGTTTTAATACTTTTAGAAATATTTCGGCAAGATGAACTTCTTGTCATGCCTGATAGGGAATTTTCATCATTAAATGCCTCCTTGTCATCCATATTGATGCTTTCACTATTAGTCTTTGTCTAAAAACTCAAACTAGCTAACAGGAGATCATGTTAGGAAGAATCACATTTTGCAAATGATGTGGCAAGGACAGGTTAAGGCATAATAGGGCTCAAATCATTGATTTTATCTCAACGTGTTCTACAACTTTACTTGTAACAGGCAACCTCTGGCTTCTGCTGTTTTGATGGGTGTTTGATATTCCTAAGCCAGAGAGAGGTTAATGTGAAGTTTGACTCCACTGATTCCTCAGCTGAGCTATTCTATGAATTAACAGGGTGATTCATCACATGTGCATTATCACTCAGAGGTGTACAGCGTGTCCTACTTTAAAGAGAACATCAATTTATGAGTCTTGAAAAGATGTCCAATACCACGAGTCACTGGCAGCAAAGTACTAACATTGACTTGTTCCCCTTTGTGATAGTGATGAATGTCCTTTGAAGGCAAACAGATAACCATCATGGCAGAAGCCTTCTCAGTAGTACCCCAACTGCTTGGAGGGTTTTTCCATTCCTCTAAGAAAAGCTGGGTTTGTGCTTTCTGTATCCAGTGGTATGGCCAAAACATATCCAAAACTTTTAAGCCCTATATAAAGGTCCAGCTGCCTGCTCAGCAGGAATTATGTCAGTGTGGTCTTTATTAATGGCTTCAAGCACTGTGTGGAGATAAATACAGAGTCAAGGGCATGACCTAGCTTTTTTCAAGCTGTGCTGCCACATTTTTTATGTATGCCATTGTCAGATGAAAGAATTTTTCCATCTCTCTAAAAAGTACAGCAGACAGTGCCTGTAGTTTCTCAAAACCCTTGGTCTGTATTCCATGAAGTTCTATCAATTTGAGACACTAAAATATCATACTGTCTTCTGGGGTACTACCATCTCTGCTGTTGAAGGATAAACATGGATTGCACTTTCTAGAGTCTAAACCTGACTGTGTGAGGAGTGTCATGATGAGATGATAAGCGATATAAAGACAATAATGCAAACATTAAGTGCTTCTTTGTGGACATAAACCTTTTTTCAGGATGTGTTTTTCTTATAAAAATATGCATCCAAACAAAACACTTCAAGAAACAAATAGCATTTTTATACCCGAAGAAATCAGCAAGGCTTTTGATGG